TTATCGTAAGAGCGGTTCAATTTAAAGCAGATCATATTTGACTCGAGAAGATATACGAGAAACATTTTATATAAAGTTCTTCATAACCAAATAAAAATACAAAATCAAATTTATTTTGTTTTTGGTTCAAGAGACCTCCCGCTAAGGTGTATCCTTATGGTTAATTACATCATGAGAAATATTTAGAAAACTCATGATAAAATGTGTTATATTTGTTCAAAATAGTCCTGAAATAGGCAACCAAAGAGAATTTTTGCTGTCCTAATAGGGGGAAATCCTTTAGTCATCAGAGCAGAGCTGAGCTACCAGGCAGAGGATAAATTATTGTAACCTGGCGGTTATACACCGCCGAGCTAAGAGAGCATATGGTACGCGCCTAAAAAAGACTTGAAAAAAAAATGATTATGCCAAAATGTGTAGATCAATATATGAGTCGAAGGAAAACCTAAGTCGGTAGAGATAGTCTGGCCCGGGCTTGATGGGCCTAACCTTCTCAAACTATTAGGACCACATATTTACTAAGTTATGAAGGTAGTAGACCCAACCGATATGAGAATCACTTCCTCAACAACTCATTTGTTGCATCATCCGAAGTGATCATGTATGTATGAAGTAAAAGGAAATGAACTACTAATTACTTAAAGACTATACAAGGACCAAAAATGTTAAATATGGACTATACCTTGCAAGGGCTTGGACAAGAAACCTATACATAAAGAAAGAAAAATGGACAACTTAGTTGCAAAACAAGTTGCCCCACATATGACTTACAATCTTGTTTGAATAGAGAGTGACTCTAACACCCTATACTGCACTAGACAACCACTTAATTGTATAAAACGTCTTTTAGGCTAGGCAAAATGGAATGCATGAATGCCTTCCTCGAGTTATGCAACATGTATACAATTATCTAAGACATCTTGATTGTGGAGATTCTATTAATATGCAAGAGGGATATATTCATACATTTTATGATCGTTTTAAAATTAGCTTAAAGGCCATGCAAGAAAGTAAAGATAAGAAAATAAAAGTGCTAGTTTTAAAATCATGTAATTTTTAATCTTAAATTGTATTAATATAACTCTTTTAATAGTAGTTTTTATAACATATATTTTATCATAAAGAACCTAATCGTGCTAGTATCTAGACATTTCAAATGCATAATAAAGATTGAACACTTACAAAGTACAATTACAGAATCACTCAACATAAAAGAATAAGAAGTCAGGTGGACTATAATCTCATAAAAAAAAGCGTTCAAGCTTCGCATATACATACCCATTCCTAAAAATATACAACATATGTATAAATATGAAGTTATGGTATGAGGCACGAGCAAACAATTCCTAGTTCTCTCAACTCTTTCATGATATTTTTTGTGATATGAATGATATGTGATAAAAATACTAAAAAAAATAAAGTAAAATAAAGTTTAGCTCTTAGTATATAAATACATAGAAATTGAGTGATATTTACTTAAATGCCCTTAATTTTAAGGCAGATATTTGGTATTAAATGAGTTCTATTGCTAAAGGTAGGTTAATGGGACAAATAAATAAATAAATTTATTTTAATATATTGAATGAAAGACATATGGAGAACCACTAAATGCCTAAAGACTTTTGACTCATTAAATATCTCTCCTTAATTCATCGTTAAAGGCTGGATGCGGGCCCGGCCCATATAGGCCGGCCGATGTTGTCGCATAGGATAAATATTTCAGCATACATGTAGAAATGTTTAAACCGTCCGATTAGAATGTTAGCGCATTTCAGCCGTTCATATTTCCTCATAAAGCCAAGATGGCGCGGGCCGCATAAGTCGTGCGCCACACGATGAATGCAGCTCGCCGTCGCCGGCTGCTTGGCTCGTTGAATTTGAAAAAGTCGCATAGGGCTATTAATTAAGATTATTTAAAAATGACAAATAATATTATCTAAAATTTAAAATTATTGATATAAGTTCTACTATTACAAATCCTCCAAGAGGAAAATGGGGTGTCTGTAAGAAAGCTGGTGTCAGATTTTTTGAAAAAAATATTTATTTATTATTATCACCACAACTTTCTAATGGTGCATTTGGAGCGGCGATGTGGTGTTACTCCACAGTTTTTTTGTTTGACAAAACTGCATTTTTGTCTGCGTTTTTCAAAAGCTGCAGCTGACAACGGTTAATGTTAGAAAATTGCGGTATGACATTTCAATTTTTCATTTTCTTCAATAGTTACTACAATTTTTTAAACATCAGCTTCTTCTTTAACAACATCTCCAAACAGACCATATAAAGTTGTTTTCTCTCCCACAACTTCATAACCATATTTCTTAAACAAATACAACCACCTCAAATAAACATTTTGACATACCCTTATTATACTCATAAAATTTAATTTCATGATAATGCAATGTTATCACTTCCCCAAATAAAATAATGATTATAAAATTTATTATGGTATAAGTTATTGGAGAAAATATATTCGCTTTGCGCATTTACGAGCAGCACAACAACATAATTGTTGAGTTCTTAGTTTTTCACAATGAGATCGCTGATTCAAATCACACATATTACTATTTAGACTCACCCTTCATAATATATAAGTACATGAGTTCGAAGTCTACGTTGGGCCAAACTCAACTATGCTTCTACTTACAAATAAAATGTATTTTTTAATAAAACAAAACTTAAAATATTCAAATCTTATCAAATCAAATTAACTTTAAATCTCAATTTAAATAGCTATTTAATTCAATATAAAATATATGCAAAGTTTTTTACAGGCCAAACGTTGAAAAGAGAAGGGGAAACGAAAATTTTTAATGGGCTTTATCAGGCCCAATTATTATGGGTCGATACTTGAACGAAAAAGCCCATAGAATGGGACTAACATGAAGTTAA